AGTAGTAGTAGTAGTAGTAGTAGTAGTAGTAATAGTTGTAGTAGTAGTAGTAGTAGCAGTAGTAGTAGTAGTAGTAGTAGTAGTAGTAGTAGTAGTAGTAGTAGTAGTAGTAGTAGTAGTAGTAGTAGTAGTAGTAGTAGTAGTAGTAGTAGTAGTAAAAGAAGAAGTGGCAGTGGTGGTGGGTGTCGTAGTAGCAGTCGTGTGCGTAGTGGTGGCGGTGGCAGTAGTGGTGGTAGTGGTGGTAGTCGTCGTCGTGGTCGTCGCCGTCGTCGTCGTCGTCGTCGTGGTGGTGGTGGTGGTGGCGGTGGTGGTGGCTTTGTGGCGTGTGTGGCGGCAGCAGTGGTGGCAGCGGTGGTGGCAGCAGTGGTGGGAGCGGCGATTGTCGTCGCCGCGTTGTTGGTAGGGGTGCCGCATTGGCGGCGGCGTTGGCGGTGGTGGTGTTGGCGGCAGCGGCGGCGGCGGGGAGCGCGGCCGCCGTTGGGGTTGAAGAAAGAGGTTCTGGGGCCGCGGCGTTGGCGTTGCGGGCGCTGGGGCGCTGGGTGCCTCGAACTAGTGGCAGCGGCGGCGGCAAGGCCCGTGGCGGCAGGGCAGCCAGTGGCACTGGGGGCGGCAGTGGTGTTGGTGGCGGCGGCGCATGGGGCGGGTAGTGGGGGCCGTGGCCGCGGCAGCGGTGAAGAAGCGGCGGCAGCGGCGATGGTGGTAGGGTGGACATGGTAGTTGGGGCGAGGGGCGCTGGCCGCGGCGGTGGTAGTGGCTGTGGCGCGCTGCAGGGCGGGCGTGGTGGCGTGTGTGGTGGTAGTGGCGGAAGCGGGCGCTTCTCTCTCTCTCTCTTGTTGTTTGTTCTCTCTCTCTCTCTTTCTCTCTGTATCTCGCTGTCTCTCTCTCACTCTCTCTCTCTCTCTCTTGTCTCTCTCTCTCTCTCTGTCTCTCTTTCTCTCTCTTCTCCGCTCGCATTCGCTCGCCCCATCGCTCTCCCTCCCGCTGGAGCTCTCTCTTGGAAATCAATTTCCAAGATTTGAGACCATTCACTTTATTGAAACCGCGTTACTTGCACAGGTGTCAAACTACAGAGTCTATCGTATGGCAGGAGCCCGGTAATGGTGCCGAAAAGTGGCGGGAGCGCAGATGGATGCGGGTAGCTGCAGCATTGGTTGTCTCCAAATGATGTTGGTAGTGGTTGTCGCTTCTGCATGTGTAGCCAATGTGGGATTAGCGGCGCGGTGGAGGTGGTGGCAGTGCTGGTGTGGGGCGGAGCGTCGCACTTGCAGTGGAAGTGGCAGCAGCGGGGCTGGGGGGGCAGCCATGAAGCACAGGCGGCGATGGCGGCAGCGTAGCTGGGGCGGTGGAAAATAGGGGCGGCGGGCGGTGGCTGTGGCGAGTGCAATGGTGCGCCCCCCCCCCACCCCGAGGAATGAATGTTTTTCCTCAACCGCGGACGTGGCTGTCCGCTGCACCTCCAGGGCCCAGCGCGCCACACCGCGCAGCCCCCGATACTGCCTCGGCAGGGCTTCGGTGAAAGTGTGGAGGACCCCCAGAATGGAACCAGAAAGCGCCCTTGAGACTCCCAAAATGTAGTCATAATGCAACTGCAACGGAAATCACTGTAGAAAGCATCCTGTGCAAGTAAAGCGGTTTAATTTCAATTGGGGCTTTGCACACGCCGGGAACGTGAAATTTAGGCACATGAGCGCCGTGTAGGGGGCGCCCTGCGCAGAGCCAAGAAATCCCCATTTGCGACCCTCTGTTGTGCCTCCAAAGCCTTGAGGCCCCCACAAGCACGGCCGCCGCAGCTGCCGCTGCCACTGCCACTACTGCGAGAGCCGCCGCCACCAGCGTCGCCACCGCCGCCACCCCTGCCGCTGCCTCTGGCATTGCCAGCCACGCCCACCGCCGCCGCCGCCGCTGCCGCTGCTGCACCGGCAGCCAACCCCCCACTGCACCCCGCCCGCGCGACCAGAGAGAGAGAGAGAGAGAGAGAGAGAGAGAGAGAGAGAGCGAGCGAGCGAGAGAGAGCGCGAGAAATAGAGATGGAGACATATTTTTTTATATATATATATAGAGAGAGAGAGAGAGAGAGAGAGAGAGAGAGAGAGATAGAGAGAGAGAGAGAGAGAGAGAGAGAGAGAGAGAGAAACATAGAGAGGACCCGAGTGGCCAATCGCCCACGATAGCCTCCAGACGGCAGCGAGAGAGAGAGAGAGAGAGAGAGAGAGAGAGAGAGAGAGAGAGAGAGAGGGGGGGAAGAGAGAGAGAGAGAGAGAGAGAGAGAGAGAGAGAGAGAGAAGAGAGAAAAGAGAGTAAGAGAAAGAGAGAAAGAGAAAGAGAGAAAGAGAGAGGGAGAGAGAGAGAGAGAGAGAGAGAGACAGAGAAAGAGAGAGAGAGAGAGAGAGAGAGAGAGCCAGAGCCAGAGCCAGAGACGGAGACAGAGACAGAGACAGAGACAGAGAGCGAAAGAGAGAGAGAGGGAGACTGTTTCTTTCTTGAAGTAGCGAACAATATGTGGTGGCCCAGCCGGGCTTGCGAGACCACGCCCGCCTAAACTGTCCCTCCGAGTTCCCGCTTCATAGGTTCCTACTTTTTTTCACAGCTGGAAGTGCTCCGTTGGAAGACAAACCTCTGAGAATCTCCAATCGTGGCCAAACATAATTCTTTGGACCTTCTCGTTGCACATCTATTTCGCTGTTGCGCCCTGGCGATCCTGCATCGTGCCAAAACATCATTCCTAGTACTTCAGCACCGCGAGCAAACGTGACAGTTGCGTCCCGAGTGTCCTAAATCATGCCTGAACACAGTTCCTGGGACGTCAACCACTAGCATCCGCGAAGCTCTTGCCAACTGCTGAGGAGAGCCACATCTGGAAACGCGACCCGCACTCCACCCGCGAAGCTCATGCAATCCTTCAAGGCGAATGCCCGCGGCGCTGAGGCGAGAGCTACATTTCAAAACGACCCACTCTCCACCCGTGACGCAGCTGCGAACTTCTCAGACGAATGTGCGCGACGCGAAGGCGAAAACGACTCGCCCTCCATCCAGGAGCACGGCCTGTCGGCGGCCCCCACGGGATCGAACAGCCCACAGCGTCGGAGGCCCAGAGCCGTGCGCCGCCCGCGCCGAGAAGTTCTTCCAGCGCGCGCGCGCGAAACGCCGTCGCCAGAGCGCCGCGACGCTTCCCGGGCCCGGGCGGGCCAGGTGACCAACGCGAGGGACCTGTCCAACTTCCCCGAGGAGGATCTCTGCGGCTGGCTCGGTCCCCTTCACCGTACCCTTAGGCGGAGAGGGGAGGTCGAGGATCGTGAGCCTTGGGAGGTTGGGGTCGTTTTGGGCTGCCTGGGGCGCTCTCGTCGCTGAGACCAGATCCGCTTCGAGATTCTGGTCCGAGCGTGCCCCACGACAGGAGGTCCAGGAACGTATTTTTTGCGGATGGAGGAGGAGGAGGGTGAGGGTAGAGACGGAGGAAGACACGGAGGAGGGCCACGATGGTGGTGATGATGACGATGACGATGACGATGACGACGGTGCTATGACGGTGATGATGATACATATGATGATGATGCTGATGATGCTGATGCTGATGATGCTGATGCTGATGCTGATGTTGATGATAATGATGATGATGCTGATGATGATGGTGATGATGCTCATTTCGATGCTGATGCTGATGCTGGTGCGTGAATATGATGAGTGTGATGATTATGAGGATGAGGAAGAGGACGAGGGTGATGAGGGTGATGAGGATGAGCAGGATGATGGTGGTGATGATGAGTATTGTTGGGCGGCCTCGACACCGCAGCCCATGTGACATGCAGTTCGTCGGCCCCGGCCCCATGTGACATGCAGGTCATGTAGCTACGGATTCTTGGGCGCTTTCTCCCGTGGAAACCTGCGCCGGAGCAGGGGTGGCGGGAATACTGTCGATAATGATGATGATGATGATGATGATGATGATGATGATGATGATGATGATGATGATGAACAT